CTGGCAGGCACTCAGCTGGGTGAAGGATCCCAGCTCGTCTGGGCTGAGCAGCGTCCGCGTCCCCGTGGGGTCCTCCACCTGCCAGGGGTGCTCGGCGCAGCGCCCGCGAGAGAGGTCGAGGAGCGATCGGCGAGCCCGTGCGCTGGCGGGGGGGGGGCACGGCCGCGAACCCTACACCCTGGCGCGCCGAGGAGCTGCACACCGAGCCCGTTGTCCCTGCGAGGCCGCCGGCGCCCTGGGGGAAGGGATGGGGCCAGTGCATCTAGCTTTCTCGGGGTGGGGAGAGGGGGCTGCGAAGCGATCGAGGATCGAGGATCGAGGATGAGGATGCAAGGATGCTCTTCGAGGATCGAGGATCGAGGATCGAGGGTCGAGGATCGAGCGATCGAGGGTCGACGTCGGGGTTCGAGGATCGAGGATCGAGGTCGGGGTGGTTCAGGACGGCAGCGAAGACGGGAGGGGCCGCGGGCAGTCGCCTTGCAAGAGCAATAGCAAGCGCTGTCCCAAAACCCTGGCACCATGCGTGCCCAAACACGATAGGCGACTGCACATGTCCCGACGGCTCCCAGAGGCACCGCACACGAATAGTGGTCCACATAGCCGGCTACCGCTCGCACGTAATTTTGCTGCCGCTGCCCGAACCCATATAGCAGGCATCCCTCGTGACACCCGCCCACATATCCTCGCATGTTGTATAGACGCTGATCTGACACCGCGCTTGCGGCGGTGGGTGGGTGTGTGTACCATCCTTCGGACTGTGTGTGTTTGTGTTTGCGTGTGTGCGTATGTGTGCGTGTGTTTATGAGCGTGTTCGAGTGTGTGTGTGTGAGGGTGAATGTGTGTGAACGCGTGTGAATGTGTGAATGTGTGAATGTGTGAATGTGTGGCTGTGTGGATGTGTGGATGTGTGAATGTGTGCACAGGTGAATGTGTGTATGTGTATGTGTGTGTGTCTGTGTGTCTGTGTGTCTGTGTGTCTGTGTGTCTGTGTGTCTGTGTGTCTGTGTCTGTGTGTCTGTGTGTGTGTTTGTGTGTGTCTGTGTTTGTCTGTGTGTGCGTGCGGCGTGCGTGCGTGCGTGAGTGCGTGGGTGCGTGAGTGCGTGCGGCCGTGCGTGCGTGCGAGCGAGCGTGCGTGCTTGCGTGCGTGCGTGCGTGGCTGGGTGGGTGGGTATGTGAGCGTGGGTGTGTGGTGTGTGTGTGGGGTGGGTGTGTGTGTGTGGGTGTGGGTGTATGTTGTGTGGTGTGGGTGTGGGTGCGGGTATGGGTGGGGGTGGGGGTGGGGGTGGGGGGGTGGGTGGGTTGGTGGGTGTGTGAGTGTGTCGGTGTGCGGACGTGCGTGTGTGTGCGTGTGTGCATGGTTGCGTCTGTGCGTGTGTGCGTGCGTGCGTTTGCGCGTGTGTGCGTGTGTGCGTGTGTGTGTGTGTGTGTGCGTGCACGTGTTCGCGTGTGCGCGTGTTCGCGTGTGCGCGTGTGCGCGTCTGCATGTGTGCGCGTGTGCGCGTGTGCGTGTGTGCGTGTGTGCGTGTGCCATGTGTGCGTGTATGCGTGTGTGCGTGTGTGCGTGTGTGCGTGCGTGCGTTTGTGCGTGTGTGCGTGTGTGCGTTTGTGCGTGTGTGCGTGTGTACGTGGGTGCGTGTGTGCGTGTGCGCGTGTGTGTGGTGTGTGTGGTGTGAATGTGTGTGTGCATGTGTGAGTGTGTGAGTGTGTGTGTGAATGTGTGTGAATGTGTTTGTGTGTGCATGTGTGTGAATGTGTGTGAATGTGTGTGACTGTGTGTGCATGTGTGCATGTATGGATGTGTGAATGTGTGAATGTGTAGATGCAAGAATGTACGAATGTGTGTATGTGTGACTGTGTGAATGTGTGGATGCGTGGATGTGTGAATGTGTGCGTATGTGTGTGTGGCTGTGTCTGTGTCTGTGTGTCTGTTTCTGTGTGTCTGTGTGCGTCGGTGTGTGTCTGTGTGTGCCTGTGTGTGTGTCTGTGTGCGTCGGTGTGTGTGTGTGTCTGTGTGTGTGCGCGTGCGTGCGTGCGTGCGTCCGTGCGTGGGTGTGGGTGTGGGTGGGTGTGGGTGTGGGTGTGGGTGTGGGTCAAGCTAGCCAGCTCGAGCGAGTCAAGTGCGGCATGCCCATTCCCACCCGCCCTCCCACAACATAAGAAACAGTGATGGCACAACTGGGGGCTGCGCGGGCATTTCAGTGCGAGTGGAGGATACCCCTCGAGGCTTCGAGCTTCGAGGCCCCTCCCAGTTCGGGCTTCGAGGCCCCTCGGAAGCTCTCGCGGCTCTTGGGCCCGCATCCCCGACGATGAAATGTTCTCCGTGCTGGCGTTTTTCCCTCGACTTCGCACGTTTTCCCTCGACTTCGCCCTCCAGGGAACGGTTTTTGGCCCCCCGGACCAATGAGAAAATATCCAGGACGCAAAACTGCTCCCGAGAAAGGGGTCGAGATCTCAGAAAGGCTGGGGACAAATTCGCCGGCCCAACGGGCCAGAGGCGTGCAAAGATCTCCAGTAACTAGCGGCCCCTGGGGGCCCCCGGACGAAAAGAACCCCGAGCAGGTCCTGGGCACGTCGGTCCCAGCGATGGTTTTCTTCTTCGGCGCTGACTTCCAGGTCCCAGAGCGCCCCAGGAACGCCCCAAGAGAGCCGAGACGCCCCCGAGACGATCCGAGGGGCCCTGAGTCGCCGAAAGATCGTTCCAAGACGCCCAAGATGGCCTCCAGACGGCCGAAGACGCCGCCAAGAAACCGCAGGGAGCCTCAGGAGACCCTCCAAGAGCCTGAACAAGCCAAAAAAACCCAGGCATTCGTCACCCCAGGGCCTCCTGGAACGCCCCGGCGCCCAATGAATTGGCGAGCTAAAAACGTGCGCCGAGCCAAAGCGGGGGCGCAATTTTGAGAAAATTTCGCTCGGCGCCCAAGCGAGAAGGTCATTCCATTCACTTCGAGCAGGGGGGGAGGGGGGTGCGCCGCGCCCAATTCTTGCCATGCACTTTTGCGGGGTGGACGACGTGACAAGAACAGCTATGTGGGCAGGGAAAATCATCACGGCATTGTTTCTGACAAGTAAGGTGGTCCCTCCCGCCTTGGGGTTGCCCCAGAAGTCCGCGCGCGATGTGCGCCGCGCCCCATTCCTGCCACGCATTTCGCATCGTCGACGACAAGACAGGCCATGATGAAAGGAAAAACAGCAAATCTGTATTGTTTTTTACAGTCAGGGTGGGAGGGCCCGCAGCCCGCATGGACGTCCGCGCGCGATGTGCGCCGCGCCCCACTCCTGCCACATATTTCGCACCGTCGGCGACCAGGCAGGCCATGCTGAGAGGAAAAAGCGGAGACTTTGTATTGACTTGTTACAGTCAGGATGGGCGGGCCTGGATTGACGGCCGCGCGCGATGTGCGCCGCGTCCCATATGTGCGCTGCGCCTCATTGTTGCCACATATTTCGCACCGTCGGCGACAAGGCAGGCCATGCTGAGAGGAAAAAGCGAAGACTTAGTATTGATTTTTTACAGTCAGGATGGGCGAGCCCAGATTGACGGCCGCGCGCGATGTGCGCCGCGTCCCATTCCTGCCACGCTTTTCGCATCGTCGTTGACAAGAAAAACGATGTTGAGAAGAAAAACGGCCACTTTGTATTGATTTTTCATAGTCTGGATGGGAAGTCCCGGATTGGGTTGCTATCGGCCGGAATACGAGGTAGGTGGGGGTATATAATAAAAAGGAACAAGGATGTGGGTGTAGGTGTGGGAGTGGGTGTGGGAGTGGGTGTGGGTGTGGGTGGGGGTGGGGGTGTGGTGGTGTGGGTGTGGGTGTGGGTGTGGGTGTGGTGGTGTGGGTGTGGGTGTGGGTGTGTTTGTGCGTGTGGTGTCCTTACTGATGTTGCGCGGCAGTAGCAAGGGTGGCCCCCCAGCGCATCGAGCCCAACATGCGTCTGCATGGCTTACCATTGCCCCCCGTTTTCTGACCTCCACGTAGAACGTGATGCCGAAATCATACGCGACGCCCCTCCGAGCCCTCCACCCTGTCCCTGGGACCAGCTTGGGCAGATGTCCGTGCACAGACGCCTCCCAGACGGTCGTGGCCAGCCCGTCGAGCTGCGCCCAGCGCCACGAGGGCCCACCCCGAGGTCTCCAAGACTGCCACACACGCCACAGTATCATCCCCCCCTGCCGCCCTCTCTCCCTCCTCCACCTGAGGAGCTGACGAACTGCAGGCGCAAGAGTCAGTCGGACGCCGCCCTCCTCCTCCTCCTCCTCGTTTTCTTCTTTTTCTTTTTCGTATTATTCTTAATATTATTATTGTGATTATTATCATGTTTTTTCTTCTTAGTAGTATTATTCTTAATATGATTCTTATTAGTCATATTATTCGTCTTCTTATTCTTCCTATTCCTCCTCCTCATCTTCCTCTTCCTCCTCCTCCTCATCCTCCTCCTCCTCCTCCTCTTCCTCGCTCCTCCCTTTGTTCCACCCCTCCTCCTCCTCCTCCTCCTCCTCCTCCTCCCCCTCCCCCGCCTCCTCCTCCTCCTTCTCCCTCCTACTCCTCCTCCCTCCTCCTCCTCCTCCTCCTCCTCCTCCCCCTCCCCCTCCTCCTCCTTCTCCTCCTCCTCCTCCTCCACCTCCTCCCTCCTCCGCCTCCTCCGCCTCCTCCGCCTCCTCCTCCTCCTCCTCCTCTTCTTCTTCTTCTGCTTCTTCTTCTTATTCTTAGTATTATTATTCGTCTTCGCATTCTTCTTCTTATTACTAGTATTATTATTCTTATTATTATTACTATTATCATTATTATTAGTATTAGTATTATTATTATGCTTATTATTATTCTTCGTCTTAGTATTCTTATTGTTCTTATTATTATTCTTCCTCCTCCTCCTCCTCCTCCTCCTCCTGCTCCTCCTCCTCCCTCCTCCTCCTCCTCCTCTCCTCCTCCCCCACCTCCCCCCCCTCCTCCTCCTCCTCCTCCTCTTCTTCCCTACCTCCTCCTCCTCCTCCTCTCCTCCTCCTCCGCCTGCTCCTCCCTCCCTCACCCATCCTCTCCCTCCCCCCCGCCCTCCTCCCTCCCTCTCCTCGCTCTTTCTCCATGTCTCTCTCCTCTTCCTCGCTCCCTTTTTGTTCATCCTCCTCCTCCTCTGCTCTTTCTTTCCGCCTCCTCCGCCTCCTTTTTTCCCTCCCTCCCTCCCTCCCTCCCTCCCTCCTCCTCTTCCTCCTACGACGAAGATAACCACCATGACCACGACGACGACGACGACGACGACCACGACGACGACCACGACCACGACCACGACCACGACCACGAGGCGTTGCGGCGCCCACCAGGAGTCCCGGCACCTCCGCGCGCGCCCGCTTCGAGTCGCTCAGGACCTCCACCAGCTTACCGACGGCGTCGGCGGTTCTGCGGGGGACAAGGCGGGAAGGAGGACAGGAGGGAGGCCGTGGGGATATCTCTCACGGGGCGCGGAGGGACGTAGCAGTACGATGTGCTGAGGTGGGAGGCGCACGACCGACCCGAACATCTAATTATCGGGGGCGCGCAAGCATGGATTAGCGACCCGTGGATTTGGCGCGCGGTCGCCGAAACCACGGATCGGGGGAGGTGCCCTCCCCAAAACGCAGCCAGTGCCGCCTCGTTCGGCGGCGAACACCCGCGATGTCCCATGGAAACGGGACCCGTCGCTAAATTTACGCCCCCGTTTGATCCATGTTTGCGATCGCCTGAATGTGAGACAAAATCTTGCAGTGCATCGTTACCCGAGCGGTAGGGCCACAAAGCGCCCGCCGCGGAGCTTGCAACATTAGAGAAAATGATCTGCGCGTGCGCCGCCCTCGAGGGGCCGCCGCGCACGCCGCATATAAGTGTGTTTGGGCCCTCCTCCTCATCCTCCTCCTCCTCCTCCAGCAGCAGCCGCACCATACATTTGTGTAGTGTTTACCCTGCGCACAACCGCTGCCGCAAGCCCAATAATTTGAGCTACTGCCACAAGAATTGTACCACCCATTTCCACATGAGACCCTTTCCTGTTTTGTCGTGTTCGTATTGTTGAAATTGTCGGGGCTGTCGTTCGTTCGTAGCGTGCGCCCTGGCGTGGTCGTCTGCACATTCATAGAACTCGCGGTGGGTACGCCGTGGGCGACCAACACCACTGACCACACGGCCCAGGGCATCCTCTGGGCTGCCATCCTTCAGAACGGAACTGGAGGAAGATCGTTTGCGTACGTACGCGCTTGTGGAATATTGGACGGAGGAGCCTGCACAGCAGTAGCTCGAACCACCGAGGGTAAACCCAAGAGATCGGCTACAGAACACCGACTGACCGGTAGACCCGACAGAAAGCCCCAGTGGCAGGAGCCACATGCGTGACCGCCCCCATTTCGGCACACCCGTCACCCGTGGCCCCATAGGGAGCTCCACCGAAGGCCCCACTGGCAGGAATCCGACGGGAAGAATCAAGCAGACAGCGGATGGAAAACCACACACACACACCTCACCTCTTGGAACACTCCACCTGCGGTAGGGGCGAGAGGTTAACCCTTCGAGCCCTCATATTGGATCGATACACATCTCAATGGCGCACGGCGGACCGGACCAAAACTGGAATCCAAGAGTCAGATCGGCCAGGAATGGACGCTCCTAAGTTGGCCAGGCCTCTCAGGGGCCACTAGCGAAAGCCCATGGAAGGCCTGGCCAAGCTTGGTGCTGGCATATCACTGACCCCTCCCGCGAACTTGCCACGACGCCCCATTACTTCCGAACTCGCCGGCCTTGAGGGCGAAGGGACCTCACTTGTTTCGCAAAGGCAAGGCGAGGCGCAGCAACAGTAGTCTGGCTGGTGGGGCGACGTCGGGCCTCCCCCCCGACGAAGTGCCACACAGCGTCGAAGGCAAGGAACATCCGCCCACCCCTTTGGGCGACTCGCGTGTGGCATCACGTCCTCCCAGAATCCCAGCGGCAGAGGACGGGCAACTCGCCTCTTGCAATGCCCAGCTATTTCAATCGGGGCCACTTGAAGTGGCCCCGATTGAAATGTTTGCCACTGGCACAAGGAGAGTGCAAGTCTCCCCGAGTGTTCATCTGACAAGTGGCACAAACTGTCGAAT